TCTATCTCCTGTTTCCTGAATCTTATTTCTTCCTCTTCGTGGAGGGAGAATTCTCCTGTTTTGGTGGAGTGCATTCTCCAGGAGCTTCCTGGGAAGGTGATTGTTTTGAGAACTTACTCATCAGAAAATGTCAGGTGTCATGGAAGTAATCTTCAAAATTTAAAAGGCATTGCTCCAGTCTTTCTCTAATCCAGCTGTTTAGAAATCTAGAGCCAGTATGATTCCTGATACTTTCTATGTGACCTGTTCTTTTTTTTATCTGGAAGGTTATAGAATATCCTCTTTCAGTCAGGGGTTTCAAAACTTCCCTTGGTATACCTTTTCTATCTCGTTACTCATGCTCTTCAATATCATGAAATTTTCTTGCATTAAAATTATTTCTGCCCAGGCATACCTGGGTGGCTCAGTCGGTTAAATGTCTGACTCATGGTTTCAGCTCAGGCCCTAATCTCAGGGTCATGAGATCCAGCCCTATGTCAGGCTTCATGCTCAGCACACAGTCTGCTCAAAATTCTCTTCCTTGCCTTTTACCCCTCCCCTACTCTTGCATGCTCAATTCTCTAAAATAAGTAAATAAATAAAATCTTAAAATTATTTCTGTCTCCATTTTGTCTGTTATCTCTTTCTAGAAATTCATATTATGTGGTTTGACTTCTTTGACTGGTTTTCTTTTTTTTTTTTTAAGATTTTATTTATGCATTCATGAGAGACACAGAGACACACAGAGAGAGAGGCAGAGACACAGGCAGAGGGAGAAGCAGGCTCCTTGCAAGGATCCCGATGTGGGACTCTTGATGTCCTCCAACCAAGATCACACCCTGACCGAAGGCAGATGCTCAACCGCTGAGCCACCCAGGCATCCCAGACTCACTGGTCTTCTGATTTTCCTTATTTTTTGCCCCATTTAAAAAAAAAAAAACTCTTATTCTTTTTGCTGCAGTCTCCAAGTGATTCCTTGACTTCATTTGCCAAATTGTCTATTGAGTTTTTCATTTATGCTATCTTATTCTTGATTTCTAAGATTTGTTGTTTTTGTTCTTCAAATGTTTCTTTTCAAATAGCATTTTTAAAAAAAATTTATTTATTTTTGTGAGAGAAAGAGCATGAGCACTAGTGGGGAAGGGGACAGAGAGAGAGAGAGAGAGAGAGAGAGAGGGCAGAGGGAGAAGCAGACTCCCCTCTGAGCAGGGAGCACAATGCAGGACTCCATCACAGGGCCCTGGGATCTCAACTTGAGCTGAAGGCAAATGCTTAAATGAGGGAGTCACCCAGGTATCCTTAAGTAGCATTCTTGTCTTTTTTTCATGAACACAGAACCTTATCTTCGTGAGGAATTCACGATACATATTTTTTAAAGTCTTCTTTCCAAGTTTGTCTCCTCCAAATCAGTGTTTATTCACATTTGTTTTAGCTTCTATCTTTCATGTAAAAAGCATTCCTCAGATGTGTGGGGACTCTTGTCTATCTGCTTATGATTAGGAATGAAGGGAAGAGCTGATTGCAAGTTGAGTGTGTATGCGTAGGGCTTATTGATCCTGGACTTCACTGTTGGGTAAACTGGGTGAGCTATTTGTTGAAGAATTGCAAATGTCACTATATTCGTTTCCTATTGCTATGGTGACAAGTAACTACAAACTTAGTGACAGAAAACCACACAAGTTCATTTATCTTACAGTTCTGAAGAGTGGAAGTCCAAAATCAGCTTCAGTGGACTAAAATCAAGACATTGGCAGGCCTGAGTTCCTCTGGAGGTTCTAGATGAAAATCCAATTCCTTGACTTTTCCACTTCCACGGGCTGCCTGTGTTCCTTGATTGATCCCCTTCCTCCATCATCAAAGCCAGAAGTGTAGCAGCTTCTCTCCTGTCTGATGTCTCTTTCTGTCCTTGTCTTCTCTCTCTGAAAGTGATATTCCTGTCTTCCTCCTGTAACGACCTTTGTGATTACATTGGATTTGCCTGGATAATCCTGAATAATCTCTTCATTTTAAAAACCTTAATTTAGGGGCACTTGGGTAGCTCAGTGGTTGAATATCTGCCTTCAGCTCAGGGTGTGATCCCAGGGTCCTGGGATCGAATCTCCCCTTGGAAAGCCTGCTTCTCCCTCTGCCTATGTCTCTGCCTCTCTCGCTCTTTCTGTGTGTCTCTCATGAATAAATAAATAAAATATTTTAAATATTTTTAAAAATGTTTTTAAATTAAATTAAATTAAATCCTTAATTTAATCACGCTGGCAAAGTCTCTTTCCAGGTAACATATTCACAGGCTCCTGGGATTAGGACATGTACATTTTGGGGGGTTATTACTCAGCCTACCACAATCAGTTTCTAAGTTTTCCCTCATGCACTGGCCAGACTTCCTACAAGAGGCTCCAATGTGGAAGGTAAAATTTTGGCTACCAGTATTCTGAGATCTGAGTGGATTAAAAGGGCTTGGGAGCAGTTGTGTCTCAGTATTCCTCATTCAGAATGTACTAGTCACTTAATGTCTCTGGTTTTGGTGCAGTGTCCATGTCTTTGGTGAATCTAGTTCCCTCCAATTCAGAGACCCTCTATTTTACCCTTTCCAGGGAATAAACTTTCAAATGTCTGCTGCTTTCCAATAACATAGAGAGGAGAAGGGATATCAGGAAGTCACCCAATCCTTGTTTCGGTGGTCTTCCTTTACTCCTAGCTCCCCATGTACCCTGGTGCTATCCATTTGGGAATCTTTTGAAGATTCTGACATGTAAATTACTCTGGCTCTCTGCTCCCCACCCTCCCTTCCAGAACTCCGGATTTTCATGTTTCATGAGTTGGTTTTGTCAGTTATGTTTTGCTTCCACAATCTTATTGCTGTTGTCTCTTCTCCTAATCTCTGCATATTTGTTGGTTTATGTCTTTTAAAAAAACTTCATTATAAATTTAGTGTGATTTGGGGCAGGAGTGAAAGTAGATGTGGGTGTGCACACGTGTTTTCATATTAATGCAGAAAAAGCATTTAATTTGAATTGGTTATATTCTTTGTGTCAGGCAGGGGTTGCCTCTGACGAGACTAGCCAGGCATCACATCTAGTAAAAGGATTTTAGTGGCCGGGTTTGTGTGTCCTGCCCTACCCAATTACACACACTAAAGCTTGACTTCTTGACTTGGTTTCCTACTAGATATCCCAGTTCCTCTGGGACTGGAATCGTGTCCCTAATTCCTGGCTTCATCTCACAAAGCAGGAAGCAGAACTGGTAGGAGTCATTCTGAATATAAATAGTTGGGGTTTTCATAATAGTACCCTTGAATTACCCTCTTTCCTTGTGGCTTTTCAGTGAGATGGAAATATAGAGAGAGAGCAGAGGCTGAGGTTTTAGAAACCGGATTCTGATGGTTATTATGTTAGCCCTCTCCAAGCATGAGATGAAAGGAAGGGCAGACCTGTCTTGCACTGTACCTAGCCTAGCATTGCCTGCCTCTTACCTCTGCCACCCCAAATCTGCCCCAACTACACTGGGTTCTGATTTTAGTCACCCTGGGTTTTTTTTTTTTTTTAAGATTTTGTTTATTTATTCACGAGAGACACATAGAGAGAGGAGAGCCACAGGCAGAGGGAGAAACAGGCTCCCTGCAGGGAACCTGATGTGGACTCCATCCAGGACTCTGGGATCACAACCTGAGTCAAAGGCAGATGAGCCACCCACGTGCCCCCAAGTCACCCTGGTTCTAAGAGTTTTTTTATGTACCAACTCACAATCCGCACGCCTCTATTATTTTATTTTTATCTTTATATTTTAGAAGGGGAGGGGGAACAAAGGGAAGGGTAGGGAGAGAGAATCTTAAGCAGGCTCCATGCCCAGCATGGAGCAGGATGTGGGGCTGATCTCACAACCCTGAGATCACGACCTGAACTGAATTCAAGAGTTGGATGCTTAACCTACTGAGCCACCCAGGTGCCCTACAGCAATTCTTAAACCTCCTTTACAAATTTAGGAACTGAGGTACAGATACTGTAAGTAAACTTGACCAGGATCATACAGTTAATAAGGCAGGGTCCAGATTTGAATCTGAACATTCTGACTCCAGAGTACATCTTTAACCACTGTGTTATAGACTTATAAACACATTCATGTGCCAAACACTGTTTCCTGATGTAATTAAGATTGTAAGGAAAAATGCGGAGGATCTAAAAGACAAAATTAACAACTTCATCTAATGGACATTATAGAATCTTGCACCCAATTTTTGGAAAAATATATACTTTTAAAGTACATAAAATATTTACAAGTAGTAACCATAAAACATGTTTTAAAAATGTTCGAAGTGTCAGAATCATAGAGACCATATTGTGTAGTCACAATACAATTAAGTTGTAAATCAATTTAAAAAAACCTCACATATTTGGGAATTTTAAATCACATTTAAAAACACATAGATGGGGACACCTGGGTGACTCAATGGTTAGGTGTCTGCCTTTGGCTCAGGTTATGATCCTCAGGCTAAGACCGAGTTCCTCATCAGGCTCTGCACAGGAGCCTGCTTCTCCCTCCTACTATGGCTCTGCCTTTCTCTCTCTGTCTCTCATGAATAAATAAATAAAATCTTTAAAAAAAATAAAAACACACAGATGGAAAAATAAATCATAAAGGAAAGTGGAAAACTTTACAACTAGATAATAGGGAAAATACATTTCAACACTCAGGAGTTGAAACCAAAGTAGTACTTAAAGAAAAAGTGCATGGTCTTAAATCTTTATTTTAAGAAAAAGAAATGTTGAAAATTAAAAGGCTAGGCATTAAATTTAAGAAGTTAGGAAAATTACAATGAGATAGAAGCAAGGGAACTAAGAGAGAAATGGGAAACATAAAAACAAATGCACAAAATAGAATTCATTCTCAATTAAAATTAGCAATATTTAGTCTAAGAACGGGAAAATGAGAAGAATAAGAAAAGGGGATATCACACACATACCTTTATTTTTAGTGCTTTTTTATTTTAAGCCCCTTAAACAGATTTTACAGAAAGGATGAGCGAATACTTCCTTTTTTAAATGGGGTTTATTTTTTTCTCGTTATTCAAGTAACACATTTTCAAATGAAAATTTGAAAATATAGAACAATATAGAGAAAACAAACAGAAGTCATAATCCCCCATTAGGGGATAATTATTAACTATTAACATTCACGTGTTGCTTCAGTCCTTTTTGTCTGTATCTGAAGGTTTGTGCGTGTCTACAGGTTATTTAAAAGTTTGGGCTCACGCTGCACACATATATTTGTATCCAGCTTTTTTCCTTAAAAACACATCATTAGCAAGTGCTCTTTAAATACAAAATTTGGGGTGGCTGTGTTAATATTTGATTTACTGATACATATGCTGTACTGCATTTGGCTGCAACCCTGTTCTTAGACAATGTTTCCAATTCTGTGGTGGAGTGGTTCAGCTGACCTCTACTCGTGGTCCACTCAAGGTATGGTGCCATATTGTACCTAAACAAGACTGAGACAGTCTGAATGTGTCTGACAAACTGGTGGGATTGACCTGCCGGAAGTCTGTTTACAAGAGGGTTAAGAAGGGGTTGGGAGAACTAAAAGAAGTGGGTGCTGAATATGACAAGTTTATGGGCTTGGTGGAGTAGTTAGATACTCTCTGTATGTTGAGTGTGTTGGCGTCTTTTCTCACCCTTTACTTTCCTGACAGCACTGACTGGTTGCTTGATTCCTGCCTTCCTTGAGTTCAGATTCTCAAGTAAGAATGACCACTAATCTCATTTTGATGGCGTTTCACTCTTGGCTGAGTCAGAGCTAATAGGCAACAATAGGCTGCCCGTGGCTTGGGTCCCCATCCCAATTCTTTCAGCTGGGTCCAGGGCATGGAGAAGATCTGAAATACAACATGGCTTGCTTTCAAGATACTTATAACAGCAAGGGCTGCCAACAGTGCAGCTTCCCTTAAAGAAGGATGTGGGCAGGTCAGATATCAAGGAGAGAAGCATTTTCCCCCTCTTCCCCCAGGCTGCTGCCCAACTTTGGCACAGAGCAGGTGTTGACAGAGCATTGTTGACAGTGTTCATGGAGGAGAGCAATGGGCAAGTGGCAGAAGTGTTATGGCCCAGTGGGCCTATGATGGAGACAGGTGTTCAGCAGAGTAGCCATGAAGAGCAGACGGGCCTGGCATGAATATCCAACATTGAGTGTCTACTATGCCCACTTTGTGCTATGTCCTATGGATGGTGGGAAAATATATAACATGGTTGCTGTTCTCAAGGAAGTCATGGTAAGTATATAGACAGAAAGTTTCTAGATGTTTCACTAAAATTTTTTTCTATACATACAGGTAGTGATAACTCCCTATGACATAGGTATCAATTGGTCAGTGGTCACTTTCTTTAACTCATTGAGCATGTCCTCAACTACTCATTTATTTCAAGGTTACCTCTTGTAGCCTACCACACTCATCATTAGGAATGACAAAATAAGGCTAAAGACTCAGTTAGATTATATAAATTTATATAAAACTTTTTTTTATGTCTTATGTATCTCAATACTTTCCTTATTGAACACTGATTAAAGCATTGTATTATGATGTTTACAGATACTCAAGGCGGGAAAAAGCACATATCTTTAAAGGTTGGATAAAAGCAAAAAATTTTAATAGTAAAAATATGAGTATTAAAATATGTTTTAATTATAAAACATGATAAAGAAAACTTGGGAAATAGAGAAAAGCAGGAAAAGTCACCTACGATCCAGACCAATGACAGTTGACATTTTTCTGTAAATCCTTCTAGATTTAGTTTTTCTCCTAAACTTTGAAGATTTGATGTTTGTTCTATATGGTTATGTTTATACCACTGTATACCACTGTTTGTAATCTGCTTTTTCATTTAACAGTATTCTTAATGTCTAGGATATAATTTGTAATGACTGCGTAACATAATTTGTAATGGCTACATAATATTACAACTAATGTACTACTCTTGATTTAATCCTTCCCCTAAAATTAGACTTCGGGGTATTTCTAATTTTCTAGAATAGTAAATAATATTGTATTATTTGTATTTACATAAAATTTTATCTTCTTTTCTCATGTATTTCCATAGTATAGATTATTGAAAATGGATTTGTTTGACCAAAGAGTATGGACTTTCTGAAGATCCTGATATATAGTGCTTAGGAAAAAATCTAAATGGAAGGGTAGCCTAATTGGCACTTCCAGGGGGGACTGTAAATTGTATAAACAGGCAAAAAAGCACCAAATGGAGAAACCACCATCATTTGAATATTGCCTTAAGGTCTATACAGTAGATGTGATACAGACAGATGGTATATCTTGATAATGGAAAATATTCTTGTCCTCATTCAAATGATTCCAGGCTATGAAAAAAGAAAAAGAAAGTGAGTAAAAGTAGTAAATTTGGCTTGATTAATTATCCATGATTACATTTAGCAACTTAAATTTATAGTCATATTCAAAACATGATGAATTAGGAAAATATCTACTTGAAACTACTAGGAGGTTATACATTATTTGTTGTTGAATAAGACACAAGATAACTCAATCATGATTTCTCTTCACTCTGGACTTGCTGGATAGTTCAAGCAATTTCAACCATAACTGAATTAACATTAGTATTTTAGCACATGGAGCAGAAGCAGTTTTGCAGGGACAAAAACATATTTCTCTACTTTAAAACCAATTACTAATGATTCCGTATAAAGAATGCTTATTAGGTTAATATAGCAGCATTCAGAAGAGAAATTATTCCAATGGGATAATGTTGTGAGCCTTCAGTTATCTTATGAACAGGGAAATTCTCAATGAATAGTAAGACTTTGTGATTTGGGTTATTTCTATACAGAACTAAACTGTTGCTCATTCAAAACACTTGTGCTATTTTCACATTCAGGACCAAGTGCAGATTTTATAATTATTCCATTGACTCAATCCATGTAGGCAAGCCAACAGACACATTGGAATATTAAAAAGGAAGAAGAAGAAGAAGAAGAAGAAGAAGAAGAAGAAGAAGAAGAAGAAGAAGAAGAAACAAGCTATTAGAGCTTGAGTAAAGATGAGGGCAGTAGGAATAGAATAAAAAGATAGGAGGCTAAAAACCTTTTAAACAAGAGTCATTGAACGTTGGGCAGGGGGGTAAGTGGAGGCAGTACAGGTACTACTGGTGATCTATTACCTGGATGATGACAGAATAGGTTCCACACAGTATCTTGGATAACTGAGCGACTACTCTGATGAGGCAAACAATTACTTGAAGCCCACTGAGAGCTATGAGAATGGAAAATAAAATGATGTTCCACTCCACTACATGTGCAGGTTCCAGGCACTCAGTCCATTTGCTGGAGTCTGTAAGGAAACTGAGAGAGAGAAGAAATATAGTCAACAAGACTGATGGCCAAGCTTAAATACTTGGTCCAAGTAAGAAGGCTTGTATGTTTGGGAAATTAATATATCTGACTGAAATACATAATATTATTAAATGTGAATTAAAGTACTTAAAAATCATTCAGATACATATATTGGGTATATAGTATGCGTAGCATTGGGCTATACTTATTTTAAACATGGTGCCTGCCTCAGAGACGATTTTAATTCCATTAGAAGGCAAGTCACATACTGAAGAGTTCCCTAGTAATAAAAGTCAGCACATGTCAATGCCAAGAAAACTATAGATTGCTTATTCCCGAGAAGTCCAGAAGTAAGCCTGGGCTGTAGAGACAAGGCTGGGCTTGTGCTAGATATAAAAACCACACATGTGGCAAAATAGCAAAGGGAAATGCTGCTAGAAATTCCTCAACTCTGTCCCAAAGTCCGTTAGAAAGGTGGCTCTCAAAAACAATTATCTGGAGGGCTTGTGAAAATGCAGATTGCAGAGACCTCGCCCCAAAAGAGTTTCCGATTCAGAAGGTCTGGATGGGGCTTGAGATTTTGCATTTCTAAGTTCCCAGTGTTGCTACTGCTGCTGCTGGTTTGAAGGCCACAGTGTGAGGACCTCTGGTGTAAACCACTGCTGCTCTACTGCTGTTAAGATTTAGGTGATGAGGTGGGGAATGCAAAAAAAAAATGGCATTTTGTCTCACAATCTAGTTTAGCACTGGATTGTGAGAATTAAACCAGTCCCGAGATCATCTTAAAACCACACTGAATCTACGCGACTGGACTTGGGCCCGCTCCCAGGTGTGCCATGGCCAGCAGCACTTTCTCCTAAGGGTGACACTCTGTCCAACTGAATCAAAATGGAAAGCTGCCCTCCTCAGAAAATTCTCCAAACAAAAATAATCAAACCTGTTTGTAGGGTAGAGCTATTAATATCTTGTCAATAGCAATATGCTTTTTCTTGAGCTGGCAACTAAGGTAAGCTGGCTACTGGACAGGTGGCCTGGAGCATTGGTGTCTGTGGTGGGAGAGGGTGAATCCTGCATTTTGGGGAACACCACCGCCACAACTTCTCTCTCCTCTTTGTTTTTCCTTCTCCCCCACCGCTCTTTATTCCTTTCCTTTAGTTCTCTCTTTCCTCCCTTTCTTTATTTCCTACTGTCTATGCTCCAGAACCCTCAGAAGCACTCTGAGAGGAGCACCAGGGTGGCTCAGCGGTTGAGCATCTGCATTTGGCTCAGGTCCTGATCCTGAGGTCCTGGGATCAAGTCCCGAGCCTGCTTCTCTCTCTACCTCTCTCTCTCTGTGTCTCTCTCATGAATATATAAAATGTTTTTTAAAAGAGGAAGAAGAGGAAGCACTCAGAATTTCTTGATTTGCTAAATAAAGGCCTTTATGTCTCAAGTTTATGTCTCAACTTTACCTCTCAAGTTCCATATGGAACTCCTGCATCTGTAGGATCTTGGACAAGAGGCTTTATTTACACCTCTGACCCCTAGAGTCTTATTCAGATAATGGGCTTAACATATCGAACCCTGGGGTTTTTACGAATATTTGGGGAGAGGAGTGTAACATACTTTGGAACCTATAAAGCATGATACAAATATAATTTCTTGTTACCATTTCCCTAGACCCATTCCATACACCCTCATACTCTGGACTCAGTCTCGGACACCAGGGAAGCTAATGTCTTCAAGACCCTTCCTCTAGACTGTTCCCATTACCTGCTCCGCACAGATGGGCCAACACTCTAAAGCAAGATGATTTGCAGGGTGTTGATTTTTCTCCTGGACTGTGGTGCTATTTATTCTTCGTGTAAACCACAGGGTAGTAAGTGCACCAGCAGGATCTGGAAGGAAGGGAGGTGCTTTTTCCGACGCTCCCTCCCTCCACAACCTCCATGTGCGGCTCTATCACAGCATTTACTTCATTATATTGTAAGTCTGTCTTATCTGCATCCATATCTACTCCCTCACTAAACTGTGGACTTGGAGAACCCTGCTGTGATGTTTGCACCCCCCCCCCCATGGCCAGGCCTAAGACCTAAGGCCATTCCTAGCACATTGCAAGGATCAGCAAATGCTTGTCGAATGGAACTGATTCAGGATCCTCACCAGTCACCATGCCAGGGGCTGAGCCTGCTAACCACCCGGCAGATGGAGGACATCATGTGGCATGAAAGATTATGCATGGTAGTGACATTAATAATAAAATCTGGCATGTCTTAAGAATATATTAAATCTAATTTATGCTCTCCTCCCATTTAATTGTCAATTCTGGGAGGTAGAACTAATTATCTCCAGTTTACAGGGGCTCGGGGATATCTGTTTCAGGTCACAGTTTGTCAGTAGCAGATGGAGAAGACTTGAATCCCGATGTGCTGGCCTGTGCATTGAGGGCCTGGGCTACGAGGGTAACGTTCACTCGAAAGCTCCACCTCAGCAGAACATTCTGTAAGGTCTGGGTGAGCCCCTAGAGGGAAGTGGCACTGTGTAATTTATCTTTGATTCTCCAGCACCTAATTCAAAGCCTGGACATAGTAGATGCTCAATGAAGTGTTGAATAAATGTACAAATGATTACCTAATTTGTAGAACTTGTTCCATCCAGGTCTGCCTTTGGCTCAGGTCATGATCCTGGGGTCCTGGGATCGAGCCTCACATCAGGCTCCCTGTTCGGCAGGGAGTCTGCTTCTCCCTCTCCCTCTGTCCCTCCTCCCCTCTGCTCATGTTTTCTTTCTCTCACTCTCAAAACAAACAAACAAACAAACAAACAAACAACGCCCCCCCCCAACTTGTTCTACCCAGAATTTGGCAAGGCTTGGAAACTTCTCTAAGAGACCAGAGACTTAACTTCTCGTGGCTTCCAATGTTTCACCTCCAAACATTTGTATGTAGCTGGAAGCAAGTGGATACAAATATCAGGGGCAACTTTAAAGAGAAATGGAGAGGCATGTAGGCAGTCTGAGATTCTTGCATTGAAAGTGAAATCTCTTTGGTTTTGGGGTCGGGGAAGTTCAGGGATGATGGCACCAAATAATGATTTTTGCACCCTGTGAGACTTTCTTCATTAGAGTCCCCTTTCCTAAGGCCCGTAAGTCCCACAGGAGTGCTCAGAAATGCCTGCTATTTTCTAGGTTCTCCTGAGCCAAGAGAGAGCTCTGCTCACAGCACATGGTACTTTGTGGAAGCTTCAGGATGAAGGTGGCTATGGGCACAGAAGCAGTTTTGCAATGCAGGTCTAGGTGAGCACACAAGACTTTGAATAGATGTGGGCCCTAGAGCCAGTCACAGGGAGCTGGGAAGAAACTAGAACTTCTCTGGGGTGTGATAGAGATACTCTCTCAATTTATACCATTAGAATTCTGAGCATAGGACAAGACAGGGAGAGATTCAGGGGACCTCTCCTGTAGCTCTGTCTGGGCCCTGCTACCTCTAGAGCTGTTTCTGTAGGGACTGGCAGGCTAATAACCCAGGTACTAGTAAATACAATGCCAGTGGGGTATTCCTTGATCCAGGATTGGGTTGCTTGATGGTTAACTGAGCCACCACCCCTCTAAGTAAGTCTACCTTCCTACACTCTTGTTCAGTACACACCAGATTATCTCCTGGCTGCTCCACAAATCCGTGCACCAGGTCATGTTCCTGGATCTCATTCTGCACTTGGCTGCTCATGCTGCCTGGTTCTAATCTCTGTGTTGTCCCTGACAGTATAGCGTGGGTAACACCAGCCAAGGGCACTGTGATTCTCTCCAAGCCAAGCCCCTTCCCATCTATAACAGACCGCACATCCGCATTGGCCACATGACAAGACTGAGTTGCTAGAACCATTCAAGTGCAAGGCTCCAGCAGTTGCCAGACCATAATAACCACAAAGCTTTGCTCTGAAGTTTGGGAGAAATACGCCTTTCATTTGGATACCTCCACATCAGCCTCAAAATAGTGAATGCATATGACATTAAAAGATTGGCAAAAAACAAAAACAAAAACAAAAATACATCTAAATAGAGATCTATGTAGGAAGAAATTGGACTGAGTATCATTAAACTAATAGGAAAATTCTGCACCAACATCCCCACGCAGAATCCCAAAGTGATCATGGAACATGAGCATGAACATGAAGCCAGGCTGTCTGGCTTTCTGAGCCCCTTGACTTGTGGAGCACTATTCCTTACCGTCCTGAAGTGCCTTCAAAGGCATACTCCCAGCCATCGAGGGTGCGGCAGTATGGACCCTGAACGAGGCCCAGAGCAGATATGACCAAACAGTATCCAGAGAAAGCAATTCCAAGGGCGGAAAAGATCATCGACAGCAGTGTCTAAATTAAACAAAGAAGAAGGAGGTCAGAAGAAAAAAAAGAAGGAGGAGGAGGAGGAGGAGGCGGAAGAGGTCAGTCAGTTCCATAAAATAGACAAGGGGCTATTGTGGATAAAAAAGATCAACTAGGTACCTCCCCCTACTCATCCAAGCCTACTGCACACAATCTGGGTAAATGCCCACAGAAAAACAGAAACAGTTCATCCAAACCCACTTGATCCTTAAAGTAAGTTTTTAAAATAACTTTTTGTTTGGAATTCCACAGAGGATACTAGTTAACTTACTAAATTTCTTCCTTTCTTCTGGAATTTCGGTGATCAAAATAATGATCACACATTAATGCAGTGAAGCAGCGTGACCAATCTCTATATTTACATACCGAAGACGTTTCTTTCTAGGTAGGGTGGGTTCCCTAAGAATCATAAGCTACGACCTTTGCTTTTCTCACGTGAAGATGATATGTGAATACCTTCACTTTAGGAATATGAGGGGAGGTATCAGGTGTTAGCCTACAAAGCCATATTTATGTTCAAGTGAGGATGGGATTGATGGGGAGGAGGGCATTTTCCCTGGAGTAGAGAGAATGAGCAATGCTCACAGGCAGAACAGTACAAAGAGTAGTAAGGGTAAGTAGGTTCATGTGACGTGGGGGAGGGTTCCTACAGAGCATTAGAGAAAAGCTTATGAAGACCAGATTGACGTGTTTGTAAATGCTGGGGAAATGGGGTGGTTGGACACGGCGCAGTCCTCAAGTGACTTACATGCAAAGTGAGTGTGACTTGGAATATTCAGGCAGAAGGTGGCTTTGAATGCTGGATCAAGGAGAGTAGATTTCATCCTTCAGGGAAAGTAGCTTCCCCCCCCACCCCATAGCCTTTCATTAATTTTTTTCCAAATTAACCAAAAAATTGAATGTATAGCCAATGTAGCTCTGTATACTCTATTTCCAGACACACCTTCTGTGAGAGATACTTTATCATTTTTGCTCTCTCTCTCTCTATATATATATATGTATATATTCATGCACATATATTATTTACTGACACATTTTTGCTGCTGAACCACCTGAAAGTAGGTTGTAGAAACTGTGATATCTCACTCCTAAACACATCAGCACACATCTCTCCTCAAAAAGATATTCTATTATCTTGCAAATGTTTTTTTTTTTTTTACTTTTTTGTACAGGGTTATATCTCTTTAGTTTCCTTTAATCTACATTAGTCTTACCAGCTTTTTGTTTTTTAGAACATTAATTTGTTTTTGGAGAATCCCAGCCCATTGTCTTATAGAACGTCCCACCAATCTGGGCTTTTCTGATTATTTCCTTACAACTGGACTTGGGTTAAACATTTTAACAAAAACACCTGCTGGGCATGAGTACATTAGGCGGCTCTCGCTGCCCTTGGTGATGCTTTTGATCTCTTCGTTAAGGTGGTGTCTTTCAGATCTATAAACGTACATTTTCAAGTTTGCAATTAGTAAGTAATTTGTGAGGTAACACTTTGAGACTGTGTCATATCCTATCCCCCCAAAACATTTCAACTGATGGATTTTACCACCCACTGATGATCCTCATATCCACTGATTACCAGTTATCACAATGACTGGTTACAGGATGCTGCTTATTTCATCCCATCATTTCTTCTACATTTATAAATTATTGCTTTTCTACACAGAAGAACTTCCATTTCCCATCTCCCTCTTTCTCTCTCATTGTGGACTCATGGATTTTCTAATTCAATGTGTTATAATTCACAACTGTTATTATTTTTTTAGATGCTCATTTGGTCCAAATATGGCCAATGGGAACATCCTGTCAAGTCATCCTGTGTCCTTTGAGACATCCCTATCATCCTTTGAACACCTCTTTTCTTCCTGGCACAGAATGTACCAAGCTCATTTTGAATTTATAAAGAACTAGAATAACTGTTTTTCCAAGAAGCCATATACTTGGTTTTTGAGCAAGGAAGTGACATGAACCAATATATAATTTTGAAAGCTGGCTCTGGCAGCAATGGCATCCAGCCAGAGTGAGAGAGCCCAAAATAAGGATTCCATGTGGAAACAACTTCAAACTGCGGTGACAAAGACGTGCCCTGGAGGGAAAGACGCTGGGGAGGAAATAAGTAGCTCGAGATGGATTGAAAAAAAAAAAAATTCCGGAGTTTGGGACTTGAGCGAAAAGGCCAGTAATAGGGATGCCAAGAAGGGTAGTTTGGTCTGGGAGACAATTTAATCTAATTTTAGAAATCTTGCTTTCAACTGAGAGTAGAACAGCCAGGTTGGTTGATAATAAATTCAAAAATTGAGACCAGAAAAACAGAACAACAAACCTGTGATCTGGGGAACAAAAGTCATCTCAAATTATATATCTCTCTAATAATTTAACATTTATTTTACTGATTATAACATTAATACATGCTCATTACTGGAAATCAGAAAAATATATTTTAAAATCACTAAGAAGAAAAGAACAATTCTGCTTTTTTTCCTATTTGATATTATTTCATTGACATCTTCATATATGATTTAAAAATCTTTCTAATTATATTTTTCATATTGATTTTAATAGAATTTTGACCTATCAAGGGACGAGAGACACAGCTACTTTTTTTTAATAGTAGATTACTGCTTGTTATGCTTACCAAAGAAAATTTACCTAATCACCAATGACATTTTCCAAAAAGGAAGAAGGATGTTTTGAAAAGATTGAGCTCCTTGTTTACCAAATGTGCTCTTAAGCGGATCACTGGAAAGATCAATGGAGAATTTCTTCATTTGGTGAAACCGGCAACCATAGCACAATGTGTATGTTTGTGTATATATACAAATTACAGTCTAGTGAGTGGATACCATTGCACAATTGAGCCTCAAAATAAAGCAGGAGAACGAATCTCTCTGAGTTACAGTAGCATTTTCTATAAACTGCAAATGATGTAGATGTTTATAGTACCTACATAACAGGGATGTTTCAAAAATTAAAGGACACAATGGATGTACAAATTATTTTAAAAATCTAAATATAATCACAATATTATCTATTATTCCAAGCGCCTTTACTTCGCTGAGAATTGTTTTGCAGGGATAACACCCCACAGGATTTCAGCAGAAAATGAGAGTCCACAGAGGAATGAAAAGCAAGCAAGAAATTAATGGGGTTCAGGTCATTCCTGAAATATGGCACCTTAGCATACTGAATATCTTAAACTGAAGGAGTTCGAGAAAATGACAGAAGCAGGATGGTCTCTCTGGCCCCTCCCAACCCCTTCACCCTTCTTCTTTGAAACAGGTCATAAAACTCCCATGTGCAAGGTACCCTCTCTGTATAAGGAGGAAGGAAAACATTCTTATCAGCAGAGACAGGGGATTTGGGGCCAAGAAATCGGGATAAACAAACCTCATTAAACTAAACCTTCTCTTTCTAGTTACTTCTTCATTTACTGCCCCTAGCCCAAACCCTTCATTCTAGCCGATTCTTTACAATTTGTTTGCTGTTTCTTGCTACTCTGGTCACTTCTTCAGGTCTTCATTCTCCCATGAAGGCCCCCCCCCCATATACGTAAAAGTTCAATAAAATGTGTACCCCTTTCTCTTGCTAATCTGCCTTTGTCAGTTTAATTTTCAGACTGAGCCAGAGAACCTAAGAGGGTTGAGTAAAACTTTTTCTCCCTAACAGTTTCTGGCACCCAATCTGGGACACCATTGGCTGGGACACCTTGCTTGGTCCAGGAGCTACAGTTAGAGATCCTGGATCTCTGACAAAAGCCTCAGAAGAATTTGTACCATGTCAGTTTCTGGGACCACTGCCTGGGAGCGGGGGGGCACTGGTCAAGGGAAAGTGGTAAGAGTCTTCCTTTTCGGATTTAGCTGGGCAGGACAAAAATATTTGTAAGAATTAGTTCTTTGGATTGTGACTCTGGTTAAAATTTGATTTTGAGTTATCCATTGGCTATTGATCCTTTCTCTCTCAGGGACAGCTATCTGCTTTCCTCTTTGTCTCTATTTGTGTTTGGAGAACTTGGCTCGGCATTTTGCCTGCCAAGTGTCTGTTCTTGGAGGCAGCCAATTGTCAGGTTATGGGCCTCCAAAAGTACACCTTACAGAGATTTGGGCTGCACCCCACTTTGTGGCTAGCATCCTACCAACCATTGCCTGCTTTCAGGAAGAGTTGTCTAAGTCTTTTTTTTTTTTTTTTTTTGTTACCTTTGGGAATGGTTCTGGATCTTGGGAGGGCTGCATCTTGTGCATCCTCTTTGGAGACATCTCTTGCACCCATGGTTAAGTTTTGGTTTTGGTTTCAAGTCACTTGATAGGTTTACTTTTAATTCAAATATTTGAAACAATTTTTTTAATGAGCTCTATGGTCAGAAGTGGGCCAAATTGAAGGCTGATATTCAGATCTTGACAGAAACTTTTAAAATAAGGCCTTCTCTCCTAAGCTAAAATAGAACTCTGAACTCAGAGGAAAAGAAAACATGTGGAAGGTTTTGTGAAATGATTATGAGAACATTACAAAGATACACCATTGTAAATCTAGAACATAGAAATTTTCTGACTTCCATCTTAGCTGGAAATCTTCTCCTAATATAAAGCAAATCAAAGATAATGTGGTTGGATGGGTAAGGTAAGATCATCCAGGCTGTGACCCAATTCTTTGAGGAATTAAAAAACAACCGTCCTTGTCTTAACAAATCTAGTCTTTATGCAAACTAGAAATGTGGCAGTAAAAGCAATTCAAAGTTCACCTACCTATCCTTAACCAATCCCCAAGCTTCCCTATTCATCTCAAAATGTTTGTAAATGCTGCAATAGATCAGGATGTAGGAAACAGAACTGCCCTGCGCTTCAGAAAAAAGAAAAAATTTAAATAGTAATTATTCTAGACCTCTAGATAATAGACAAATATGCCCCAAAATTCCTTCTAAAAGGAAACCTACACCCTCTTATCCCCCTAGATGCGACTCTTCCCATTGCTTAGAAATGTAAACATTCTAGGAGATAATTAAAACACAACCCTGAACTGCCTGGAACCAAAGGGGAAAAAATACCAGGGGTGGGGTAGTCTTTTAAAAAAATAAACTGCTATAAAAACTCCCTCGCCAAAATCTAGTCCACAACCTTCATAAGATTACATGTCAAGGGCAGATACAAATCTTAAAAGTCTTCTCCGCAACTATTAGTAAAAAGCTTTAGCAATCTGAGTGGGTAGCCAAAATTTGTTCTATCTGCCAGAAACATGATTTGGACTCTTACAAACTAGTGAGTTTTCTGTCAATGTACCTGATACATGGCTAAAATTTGAAAACAAAGGCTGTAAGATCTCTGTGTCTGTCTCTCTATTTATGTCTGTATGTACATGCTACAGACATGTGATATTTTTCTACCTCTAGATGGTATTGCCAAAATAATTTATAAAAATCTCTCAAAAGAGTTCTATTCTAATTGACAAAGAGATAAATGAGTGCTCATATAAACTAAGTATCCTTAAAACTCTCAGAAATACAGAAACAAATCCAAAACAATTTTTTAAGTTCACAAGATCTGGAACAGTCTTTGGGATAGTCTCTTAAAAACTGTTGGGAAAAAACCCAACAAGCGTATCTTGAGAGTTGTCAGCCTTAAGCATAATGTAGTCATACAATTTTTTTCTACCTAGGATTGCTAGTCAACCATATCTCTACTAGATGTTTAAGAAAATAAAACTATAAATTCAACCTAAAAACAAAGCATATTGTAAAAATAAATTGCTGAATGTATGTCATGCACAGCTGTTGAGATAAAGTATGTTTAACTTTTTGGGTCCTTTGTTTCTGTGACGTTTAATGCTTACCTGATATATATGTCACAAAATTTGTCAACAAGAAAAATAACTTAAAATAATGGCTAACTTTGTCTACTGTCATGAGTGACCTAAACAGAGTTGTTAAGAGCAAGTGAGTTAAATGCACATGTGCTAAAAGTTTATAAGTGAATTTTTCAACAATCATTGGGTTTTGTAAAATATGTTTATTTTAAAATACCTCCCAAAATATTTTTGCTAACTTGAAACTTTAAAGTTATACAAATTATGCAAAGTGAAGTTAAATGATGGTAATTCATTGAGTGTATGGGTCATTTCCAAATAAAATAAATTGCTGAAACATTGGTGAACATAAGCTTACCCACTTTTGTCATTAAAGAGGAACTAAAGAAATTTGGGTCTCTTAGTAAATGTGTCTTGCGCCACACTGAAAAAATGTGCAATGAGGAAATGTATGCTTTAGAAATTATGAAATAGCATATTAATGAATTTGCCAACTAACAGGATGCTGATATCTATAACACTCCACAGTTGCTAACTTTGTAGTTTTCACTGGAAATTAAAGTTTCTAAGACTTAAGAATTCTAATTAGTATATGTAATTCAAACTCCTAAAGAAAAGAAAGTAAAACTACTAGAAATAATAAGGGAACAACTCTGTAGACAAGAAAAAAGGCATGCGTTTTGGCCAAAAAAAAAAAAAGAAAAAAGAAAAGAAAAGAAAGAAAGGTAGAAAGAAAGAAAAAAGAAAAAGATATGAGTTATGGAGATGTGTCAAGGGCAGATACAAATCTTAAAAGTCTTAAAGGTCTTTTGGTTAAGGAAAAAAGGAAACTTTTGGGGAAAACCTCTTCTCTTTTGTATAGTGAATTTTGGATGATCTCAATTTTCATTGCAGAGCTTCAGCAGTTCCAAACCAGGGCAGACTCACATTTAGCTTTCAAGATGTGCTTTATTTAATTTAAATGAGTTAATTGCCAACATGTTATGATTGAGAAGTTGTACCTAAAGCTCCATCTTTCTACTCTATTGAAAACTGAGAAACACTACCCAGTTTTGTCGTGACAACAATTGGCTGGACTGGTGTAGCAGCTCCCTCTCCTCCTTAAACAGAAATTTTGCTCTAATGCCTACCAGGCTCACTTCTTTCATTTTCGTTAGATCTTTAGCTCCTGGGAGCATATATACTGGGACCCCTATTCTAAAGACCTTGAAAGAGCCCTGCGGGGAATCCCCTCTCCCTTCCTCCTGTTCTTTCCATACAGATGCCTGTCATCTCATTCGAATTGATTATAAAACCCTGTCCAGACTCCACACTGTTTACAGCACCCATTTGTGCTGGAGATGCTGAGAGTGAGTCAAGGCAAATCGAACACATTTATTTTTATTATGAACTTAATGGCACATACATTTGATTTCTAGAGATCCCCTGAGAATCATAGGTTAATGTTTACCAGAATTTATTGCTTCACCTAGGCAATTTTGACAGCTTTTCCATAAGTATAATACCAGCAACTACCAGGAGATGTCTGAGTCAATTGGTTAAGGAAAGGCAGATGCACACAATGCACATGCGCATGCACAGAGTGCCTTTCAATTTTTCAAGTCTCCTCCAACCAGGAGCACAGTTCCAAATTTAGCAGCTAATTCAACTCATTTGTCAAAGAAAGCTGGACATGCTATCTTGGCTGCACATTAAAATTTGTTTGGCCCTTGGACCAGCTAGGTCAGGGTGTCTGGGGGTGGGATTCCAACTCCAAGCTCTCAGATGATTGCAATATGCAGCCAATGGTAGGCAACCACTGCTGCAAGATATGCCTACCAGGCCTCCAGGAAAGTTCTTTTTAGTTAATATGTCACGTGTTCTCTCTGAGCCACAGGTAACTCACATAAAGTGTGAATAACAATGATGCAATTCACTGGGTAAGTGTGAAAAAACTATGAAGTGCTATATGAAAATGATTAAAAGATGATGACCCTGAGGAGGAGAAGGATAATGATGGAAATGTGGGAGCCCAACACCTGCCTGCTGAGCACAGGCTCAGAGAATATGGTTGTATTGTTCTCTCTTGATTCTATTTAAATTATTTTTCAAGTCCCAGTTAAAAAAAAAAAAGTGCATCACATGTACCCAACACATGGAGAAATCTAATCACTATGCTGAGTGAAGGAAGCCAGATACAAAAGAGAAATACTGCATGGTTCTATCTACATAGAATATAAGCTAATCTATAATGACATGAAGCAGATCAAAGATTAATCTTTTGGGAGTGACGGAAATGTTCTGTGTCTTGATTGTGATGATGGTTTCATGGGTGTATTTGGCTGTCAAAACTCATGGAATTGTATAATTGGGATGGATGCCATTTGTTGTATGTAAATTAGCCCTCAATCAAATTGAAAAGGGGAAAAAATAAGTTCACAGACACGTCGTTAGGAAAAGGTAGTGTTATTTTCTCATCTCATGTATCTTTAAATCCTGACCTTCTGGAAAAGCATCAGCAGGGACAAAGGTGGAGGAAAGACAGTGAACAAAAATGGAAGATACATTTTTTTCTTTTTTAGTAAATTCTTGGGCTCTGCGTTGAAAGGATGGTGGAAAGTGGACAATAGTGTCAGTATTTTCACGTTTCTGAGCGAGAGGAAAGAGAGCCAGAGCCCACTCAAGCATCCTCAAAGTACTATTGCTCTTACCATGTATTTTTTGCTGCAGTTTTCACTCTGGCAACATTTATAGTTGCTATCATTCTCCAGTACAAGAAGAACTGCTGCTACTATAAGCATCTGTGGTAGGGAAGAGAGGAAATATCAAAAATGGAATACTAGTCATAATCAGAGCACAGTGACTCAGAGCAGGAGTGGGGTTAAGTGGACCTGGGTTCAAATCCCAGCTCTGCCAGTTTCTAGCTGCATGAACTTGAGGGTCCTTCCCTATAAAATGGTGTTTGAGGACTCACCTTGGTGGGTTGTTAGGAGGTAATATATACACAATTTTGAACACAGTGCTTGATTTATAGTAAGTGATTGATAAATGTGAGCTCTTATCATCATGCTTATCAGTCATCAAAAGCTAATGATTAAGCAGTAAATGGTATGGACATGGGAATACCACCCCAGGGCAGCAAATCTGCGTTTCTCACTGGCTTCAGTTGCAGAGGCCAAAGGAAAATCATTCACCAGACTTTGCCATTTGCCAGCCTCTCTCCATTTACTGCCCTTTGGGAATGCAGGTGAGAGGGATGGTTAATCTGAAACCACATGTTTTCATTCAAAGTAAGGTCAGTTTGATTTCCCCAAGCATTCAGATCATCGCAGGTTCAAATTTTCAAGGGTGCTTTGTCTCTGTTAAGCTAACGGACTAGGAGAATTCAATATATCCTATTTCCCTTCTTTGGTATCTTAGGGAAGGGCTCAGGTTCTGGTAAGAACATAGATTTCTTGACTGTTGTAGGTCCTTGTTTGGGCAGATATGGACTGTGGATTGCTTCTAACAAATTCTCCACCTGTCCTTTACTCCTGATGTTGAGGACTGAATCTTGAAGCTGAGTTCATCGTTCTTTTACTATGTGTAGTCAATATTTCCACTTTCCAAATTCCTTCAGCTTTCATTTGTCTATTTACTTATTCATCTAAATTCCTCTTCTTCCTCCTAAAAAGATTTGATGTGGTAACAGTAATGTTTTTGAAGAATTCCTCAACAGTGGAAGATGGAGAACAGGTTCTTTTCTCTTTTACACAGAATATTAGTAAAAGAGTCCTATACTCTCCTCCTTTCAACACTGTTAGTTATCACAGATTTTAGAAGATTCTGGCTTAATCTCACTAATGCCTTGTAATTCTTCTATTTATTACAGCTGCATATTGAGGGAAACAATGACAGAAGGCACAGTACACCAGGTACAGTAATTGGCTTTGTGACAATATTAGTAGAAATAATTAGATCTAGAGCCTAGAATCCTGTGTCAAAAGAGAAACAAACACAGGCACTGCTCATGTTGAAAGAGAAACTGCTTTCTTTTTTCATTATAAAATTAGAACTGGAATACAGGGCTCAAGCATGATGGAGGAACATTACACCAAATCCCACCATCCTCACATGTTTTTCTGTATTTACTCCCGGTGTTTTACCACCTATGTATATTTTACATGGTATGATCGTCATTTACTCAAGTTTTTTTGTATCTTTTTTTTTCTTTTGCTTAACACAAAATATTCATTTTCCACATAATTACAGCTTCATCATTATAGTTTTCATCACCATGGGAAGTGAATGTACCATAATATATTTGGCCAGTTCTATGCTACGGTGCTCCTATAATTACTTACTATTCTAAATAGTGCTGTCATAAATATCTATGCATGCATCTCTTTCTTTATTATGGATTATTTCCTCAGAATAAGTTCTCAGATTTAGGATTACTGAATCAAAGACATAGGCATTTTCATGGATCTTAATAGAGCATATCAAAATCTTCTCCAAAAGATTTGCATTCACTTATGGTACGAGCACCAAACATTCATTATGTACCTATCACACAGCAACTTCAATAGCATTGGGTATCAATACTTTAAAGTTGACTAAGTTAATATGGAAAATAGTAACTAAATGAAAACTGCTTTTCATCATAGTTATTCAAATTTTATAATTCTTTAGCCCACGAAGATGTAGAGATAAATTATAATGCATTTTCTTTTATGGCATTGGTGGTATAGTAAGCTTATAGTGAACAATGTGCTGTTTTTAGAAATGATATGATCAGGAAAAGTGTTTTTCCTCTGAGTTGCCAACATGATTTACTATCGGTTTGTTTTCAAAGAGCACAAAGCCATCAGGAAAACATTCATAGATTCTTACAGTAAATAATTTGATTTCTTTTTCAAAAACACCCCCCAATATGAGAGGCATAATATCAAACTATTTAATGATAATATGGTTCATTCTTCAACAAGTATTTTTAATTACAATATTCACTGGCTACCTACTACACGTCAACCTCTGTCCTAGGAACTTCCTTCATGAGATTTTATTGAATCCCCACAGTTACCCTAAAAAGTAAATGCCATTACTCCCATTTTTCAAATGAGAACACTGAGGCATTGAGTAACTTGCTCAAGGTCTCATGGCACAAACGACAGAACTTATATTTGAATGTAAATTTGTCTGAATCTCCAAATCTCTGCTTTTTCCACATGGTCTTGATACCTCTCCAATCTAGATAAATTGTGAGTCCAGGTAGAAACTATTCTAAAAAAGGGCAATACCACTGAACATTAAAGAGCTTAAACCAACACACAGGGTTCATGAGGTCATAATATTTCGACAGGCCAGTGTCCCACAGACTAATTTCGTTCAGACTAATTTCCTGCATTGCTGAAGCGACATATGTGGGCAGCTTACCAAAGACAAAGCCACCCTCCCAAGTCCTCACCGACTACCTGCCCTTCCACCCCGACCCATCCTCTAAATCCCAAACCCAGGATTAGTCCAAGTCCAGTGATCGTTCCACCAGGCATTATTTCTGCTAGGAATAAGAAAATGCTTAGTAAGAACAGCCCCTCCTACAGCCCCAAGTCTCCAAAGTCACACTTACCATGACACCTGAGAAACAGATTCCTTCAAAATACCACACGTAGTTGGTGAGTTTATTGCTGGACGCATAGGAAGTTTGCCCATTTGGAAAATATAATAATATATTGACAATTATGCTCCAAAGTGCAAGAGGAATCAGCAGACCACTTAGGCAGCCTCCACATTTCCGAGACCCCATCTTACCCTGCTCAGAACCTGCAGGAGATTTCAAGAGTGTAGAATTACATAAAGCTTAATTTTCTTCCTACCTGTCCTTTTTTTTTTTTTTTTCTTTTTTGAGATTACCTTCCACTTTCTGGGTCAGAGCCCTTCACTCCATATTCATGAGAAGCCCAGGGCTCCGATAGAACTGCAGCCCACACAATCTCTGGTGTGAAATAGTGGTTTACTGTTTGGAGAACAATAGACAATGATCCACGGCTGAAGAGCTGAGCTGGTCTTCATCCTGTGCCAAAGGAATGCGGTGTTTTTACTGCATTTTAAAATAAGTCACTTTCCTCTGGATTCCAGCACTAAAGCCTTAACCGTGAGCATATTTTTAAGAAGGAAGTTGGGGGTGGGGGGTGAGCAGGGTACGGTGTGGAATCGAATCTGGCAAATTTCATCTGACTGAACAGGAGGGTTAAAGAGAAAACTGCCAAGGGAGTTTATCCTAGAGCAGAGTATGTGGTATGTTTGCTCGGATATCCTGACTTTATATATCTGCCCTTCATTCAGTGTTCTTAATTCTGTGCTCACTATTCACCAAGCTTTGTTCCAACTGCAGGGGGCACAAAGGGGACAAAGACAGGGTCAGACTAGTGGGTGAGAAAAACAAGACATCACTGTTGGTGAGTTTACTGTTGCCAATACCGGTACAGCTTTCCTTCTGAGAGTTCATCTCTGTGATTTCTACCTCTCTGAAAAATAATAACAGGAGTAAATTCACATCTTTCCTACTGCTTAGGAAAATGGGTACAAGAATTTGGGGAATTTGATTAAGATTTCACAAGTAATAAGTCTGAAACATGGACTTAAGAATTCTCCCTTCCAAATGATCACCCTGAATTGAAAGAGCCACAGATCCTCTCTAATTAGGTTGACATGAGGAAAGGATTAAGGGAAGGCATCCTGACACTACTATGTCTTTTTAAAAAATATTTTATTTATTTATTTGAGAGAGAGCACAAGTGGAGGGAGGGGCAGAGGGAGAGGGAGAAGCAGACTCCCTGCTGAGCAGGGAGCCCGATGCGATGCAGGATCCCAGGACCCTGAGATCATGACCTGAGCCAAAGGCAGATCCTTAACTGACTGAGCCACCCAAGCACATGCCCCTGCCTTTTAAAAAAGACTTTATTTATTTATTTATTTATTTATTTATTTATTTGAGAGAGAGAGAGAGAGAGAAAGAGAGAGAGAGCTGATACTACTACGTTAAAGTTGATGTGTACAGTGGTGGTAAGGAATTCAAGGGTTGCCTCATGTTGCTGCCACCCCTTTCTATTGGTAACATCAGAACCAATGATGAGGAAGTAGAGACCTAAGAAATGGGAATTAAAAAAAAAAAGATACCTTCCCCAGAAGAATAATGTGAGGGTTAAACAAGATCATGTGTACAAACCACAGTGTCAGGTGATACAAAAGGAGTAGGCAATGAATGGGAGCCATCATTAACAATAAAAAGAACAGTTATAGGGACATAATTGTCAAAATAGTACAGATATCAGAAGTAAAGTCTGTTCATTTACTTCTCTTGGTACCTAAAGAGTTCTGTGTCATGAGCTCTTAAAAAAAAAAAAAATATATATATATATATATATATATATATATATATATAGCCTTCAGGTAGTGGTAAGTATGGTTAAAATAAACCAAGAAAAGGGTATCTAGGAGTGCCAGAGACTGCTGATGGGGATATCATTTCAAACAGGGTGGTCAGGAATGACCTTAACGAGAAGATGACATCAGAGTGAAGATGACATCTGAGGAAGTGGAGAGTGTGAGCCATACAGGGAACTCTGGAGGAAAGCATTCCAGGCAGAGAATGGCAAGTGTACAAAAGTCCTGAAGTAGAAGTGAATTCTGGTGAAGAGACCATTGTGGCTGGAGCCAAGTGAAGGAAGGGAAAAGTAGTAACTCTTGAGATTAGTTCTGAGTAGGAACATGGCTTGCTATGTTAAAAGGTTCACCATGGCTGCTGTGTTATGAATAGGTTGTAAAGGATCCAGTTGAAAGAAAGGAGATGAGGTCTAAAGTCACTTCAACAATCCAGGTAAAAGATTATAGTGGCTCAGACCACGATAGTAGTAGCAGAGATGGTGAGAAAAGGCTGGATTCTGTGTGTATTTTTTTGTTAATATTTTGTTTTAGGTCTAATCTCTACACCCAATGTGAGGCTTGAACTCATAACATGGGTATCAAAAGTCACATGCTCTACTGACTGAGCCAGCCAGGTGCCCCTGTATGTATTTTTAAGATAGAATCAATGGTATTTGGTGACAGATTGGATTGAGTATAAGAGAAAGAGGGCATCAGGAATGACTGCATGGTTCACAGCCCAAGTAACAGGAAAAATAAAGCTGTCATTAACTGAAATGAACAAAACAGCAGGCTGAGCAGGTTTGGGGGTGGTAGGTGAAGTAGTAAGTTTCAGACATTCCAAGTTTTGAGATACCTATTAAAATCCAAGTGGAGATTCCAATTAGATAGTTGGATATACAAATATGAAGTTCAAGGGAGAAGTCTGGAGTGGAGTATATGAGAGTTGTCAGCATATGAATGGTGTTTAAAGCCATGAAGCACTCTGAGAATAAATACAGACAGAAAAGAGGCCCAAGGACTAAGTCCAATGAATTGAGTTTGGAGACATGAGGGGGAGCCTGCAAATTTGACTGAGAAGTGGCCAGTGAGTTAGAAGAAAAACCAGAGGCTTATCCTAGAACTTGAGTTTCTCTATGAGGAGGAAATGATCTACTGAGTCAAATGCTGCCTATACAGCAAGTAGTATGGGAGGACTGAGAGTTGGCTGTTGGAGTTAGCAACATGGAGGTCCCCAATGACCCTGATAAGAGAAACTTTGGTGGTGTGATAGACATGGGAGTCCAACTGGAATGAGTTCATGAGAGAATGAAAAGAGAGGAGAGGAGCTCTTTTGGAGAGTTTTACTGTCAAGGAGAGCAGAAAAATGAGGCAGGAGGGCAAGTGAAAATCAAGGGGAAAAATTTAATGGGAGAAATTGTATCACATTGATGGGAATGTTCTTTTTGGGAGCAGGGGAGGGGAGAGGAGGAATAATAACGCAAGAGGGAGGGAGGAGAATTGCTGGGACTCATCCTTGAGTAAATGAGAAAGGGTGGGAGCAGGTACACAGGTGGAGGAGCTGGTCTCAGCAGCATGGGCGCTTCAGTCCTCTTCACAGAAGGGAAGACAGACAGAATTGGAAAGGGGGGGCAGGAAAGGAAAGAGAGGGGGAATTTCTGATGGCTTTTGTTTTCTCCACGAAACAGGAAGCAGGTTGATCAGTGGAGAATAAGAATGGGGAGAGAGCGTTGAAAGTTGGGAGAGAGAGAGGAAAGGTATGAAACAGTTGCCTAGGAGAGTGAATGGTCTGGAACAATGTGGCAAGATTGCCAGCCATCACTGAGGTCTCAGTGAAGTCATGAATTTATAGGGAGCCTAGGAAACATGATTGAGTATTTTTCCTGATTAAGTTCAGCTGCAGAGGTGTGGGCAGAGTAGTAAGAAAGCTGGAATCACCAGGACTGGGACTTGGCCAGGTAAGTACCATGAAGAGAGAGAGGCAAAGGAGTCAAGGCTAAATGTAAGAGAGTGATTACAATGATGGACCGCGGAATGTAGTGTGAGAACAACAAGTAAAGGCATGAGAGAACGTAAGGGGCAGTGAACAAGGGGTTGAATTAGGAGACCGTGTGTCCCAGTGTGGTTGAAGAATTACTGGTTTGGGGTAGTAGAAAGAGAAAGAGCTGGAAAGATAGAATTTAGTGATTGAGAAGTGGGATGCTCGAATTTGAGATTGAAATATTTCAGAAATGGAATAAGACATCTAAGGATGTATTATGGGCCAAATTGTGTCCTCTCAAAATTCATTAGGTTGCAGCACTAAGCCTTATAACCCCAGGATGTGACTATATTTAAAGTGGCAATTAAGTTAAACCTGGGCTGGTAGGGTGGGTTCTAATCCAATCTGACTGGTGTCCTTACAAGGAGAGGAAATTTGAACACGTAAGGAGAGATCTAGTATGCCCTGTGCACAGAGAAAAGGCCTCTGGGGACACAAGAAGGCAGCCATCTGTAAGCCAATGAGAGAGGTCTCAAGAGAAACCAAATCTGCCAACCTCTTGATCTTGGACGTGGAGCTTCCATTACTTTTCAGAAATAAATTTATGTTGTTAAACCCCTAGTCTGTGGTATTTTGTTAGAGCAGCTCCAGCAGACTAACACAAGGCATGGCCCTGAGAGTGAGAGGCGAGGGAGGGTGGGAGGCAAGAGGATGGGAAACGAGAATTGAGAGGGTTTAGTTGAGATTTTACAAACGTTTTTATCGCTAATACTTTGTACTTTGAAGGAGAGTGACTGCTTTTTGTTAAAGTTTACAGAGTGCAGTCATTGAGGATTTTCCAACTTCTCTCAGTGCTGTGGCTTCCAGTAAATTTCAGCGTCAGTGAGATGAGCAATCAGGGTGTCCCTCCAAGTAATCATGGTGAACTGATACCTAATGAGTATCTTTTTTTGTGCTAGAAACCAAGCTGGAAGCTTTCACATGCATCAAAACAAAAAATGAGTTCAATGACACTGTGGTGAAAGCGTTATTAATCTCATTATGTATGTGGAAAAAAATGGAACTAAGAAAAAACTTTCAACTTGTCCAAGAACTAGAAGTTAAATCCAAGACTTTTATATTCTTTGGACTCTTCAACTGCCCTCACCTGATACACTTCTATGTATCAACCCCCTCTTCTTCACTGCAAATAGGTTTTGAATGTGGATATTCTGATTCCTTGGCAGTAGCTGCCTACAATGTTATTTTCAAGGCACACTGGTTTCAGTGGGAGAGACACCAGGCCAGATAGGTTAACTAGAGAGATTATTGCTGTCTGCTCTGGAGATAGGGTCAGGGGAGGGTAACATGTGTGGCTAATACTCCCCAGTCTTAAATGACCCCAGAAAGGTGTCTCTAATGATGCTTTTACGTCACACATAGTTGTGAAGACTTGAGGAGGTCCAGGGACAATTGTCACTTGGAAGATTGCTCAGTAAGGATGACAGAAGTAAATGAAAAGGATATGACAGGCTGGAAAACTTGATACAATTGTGAAAAGGGGAGTTGTGTAATGTCCTGATTTTGGTTATCCCATTAATGAAAATATCTAATGAAGTCTCCCCAGATAAGTAAAAAAAAAAAAAAAAAAAATTTTTTTTTTACTTAATTCCATTTCTAAGAAGACTCTTTTTTTAACTTGCCTCTCGAAAAAA